GAGATGATTTTATATTTTCACTACACATGTGGTCATGTACAATTCTCTGTGCAACAAGAGTATCAGTTAGGATATTATTATCCAGAAGTTGGTCGTTTATACTAAATCCACGCTCTACTTGTGCTTGGCCATGGAGCAATTTTAGTAACAATAGGTAAATTTTCATTAAATCCTTGAATCTTGAAGCATCTGTATATTGAACCAAAAAATCTGATCTATCACTTTCTTTTTAGAACGCAAGAAATTTTTCCTGGTTCACTTTCACAACAGTAGTTAAAAATTGTGAATACTGTAATTTGGCTTGATCAGCAACTGAAGGTGATACCTTTTTATAAGCAACTAATTTCAGCAACAACTTGTCAAAATAAAGTTCACGCATCTCATGAGATTCAACCATGTACAAAACTGATAAACATTATAACAGTTTTGCAGTTTCCTTAACAAATTGCAACTTTATAGGGACTAACACATCTTTATACCATGAAGAAAGGTATTCATAACTAGTATTTTGCACAGGCTTACATTGACCAGGTTGCTTGCTTTTTTTAAAATTTTTCCAAATGTCAATAATCACAATAATCTTGGGCCATTTCCATAGTTTTCTTTGCTACTTTCTCATTTTCAATCCAACGATGGCGACAGAACTGTAGAGCATAATCTGAAGACTGAGCTTGAGTCAGGTTTTTCGAAATCAGCACGACAAGAAGGGCTCACATGGAATATCTTAAACAATGAAGACAGCAATTTATTCAATTTCCATCTTGAAGCATTTGGACCATTATTGAATGAACAGTGCATTGTGTAAAAAGGCCACATGATCCAATTGATACTAACTGACTTAGTTCACATTCACTTCTCTTAGCATTCAAATTAGAGAGGAAAGACATGTTAACATTTTGACCATTCATGGAAACATGGAGCATTTTATCTTCTTCTAAACCACTCATACATTTACGGAAATTTGTCATAATATCGAGAGTAGCAGCCTTTCCCAAGAATTCAGAGTTGAAATATCTTGTTTTTATCATCTCTAATGAGGAGTCCCAATATCTAACATGCAAATCTATCTGACTTTTCTTGACAACTTGGTAGTAAGATTCATCAAATTGGCAAACAAACTGATCAAGCTCTGATAATGTCTCTCACAAAATTTCCTTAAAATGTGCACTTTGTTTTCCCACAAGAAAATTGTTTAGCTATTTTACTATCACTAAACATTGCAAAATAATTCAGATTTATTTGCACTTGATCAAAAAGAATGTTTTGAAAGCAAAACATCAACTGGCCACAGTATCTCTGCTTTCTTTGCTAACTGCTGTGGACACAGTGCCACTTTTGGGCTAGTTGGTGGTTCTACAACAGTTTTCAATGCATATTTATCACAGACAGGCATACATTGTTTGTGTTTGTTATCATTAGCATGTTTTTCCAATGCCTTTGTACCCAAACCTGCAACAGAAATGACTTTCAAACATACCTTACATTTTACTGAATACAAATCGTTGGAACATTTTTGTTCCCATTATTTATAATTATTGTCATTTAACCAATGATTTTGAAATTTAGTTTATATTTGACTGACATTTTCTAATCTAAAAATACAAAAATATTTGGGTTGACTTGGTAAGATAAAATTGTGAATAAAAATAATTTTAATTCCAAGAATTGCCACTGACAGAAATAAGAAAAAAGTGAAAAGTGTCCTTAGAAAGTATTAACATGTTAACATGTTAAATATACCATGTTAAATTTATACTGTTATACAAATATAACTTAAGTATACAGTGTACACCTTTGGCTCAACTGGTGGCTCAATGACTGTTTGTATTTCTTTTATGACTCACAGGCATATATTGTTTATATCTTTATTCATTAACATGTATTTTCAATGTATTTGTATCTAGATCTGCAACAGACATAACCTTCAAACACATAGTACATATAACATTCAAAAATACATGTTTTTTTCATTAACATGTATTTTCAATGTGTTTGCATCCAGATCTGCAACATATAAAACTTTTAAACCTACAGCAATCATCTAGGTCATATTTAAAAAATTCAGTATATATTTAGCAAAAAAAAATTAACAAATGTTAAACAATGCAAAATAATTTATTTTATAAATTTAGCATTTCGCTGGTGGCCAATAATAAAAAAAAATCATCAAACATACCTAACATAATACTTGACCAAATAAAAAATTTTTTATTTATTGTCTTTAAACCGCTTTTAAAATTTAGCTTTATATTTGACTGAGATTTTCTATTCTGAAGGTACAAAATAATTTTAGGTCAATTTAATTAAAATAAAGTTTTAATAAAAATAATTTTGATGTTCAAAACTTAGGCAGAAATAAGAAAAAAAAGCTTAAATTTTATAAGAATAAAATTTTTAAATTATTAAAATATTAAAAAATTATTAAATATACATTTGAGTAAATTATTTTCTATCAGTAAACAGCAGCACTAACTACAAGTCTGATCCATTTCATTAACTTTATTGTTGAATGGCTGATAGTAGATATTGCTTTATACTCAGGACAAATAAATTAGGAGAATTTAGGAGTATTTTAGAAAATCACCTATACTTTAGGAGAAATTAGGTCTTTTTAGGACGTTTTTCAAATATTAGGATACTTTAAAAATTTAAGGAGGCGTGGCCACCCTGCTTCTTACCTTAACTCAGATTAAATTTTTTTGTGTGGTTTTATTACTACTTACTTTGTTTGTGGTAATGTTTGTTTTAATGTTTCAATCCAATGTCAATTAATGGTCAAAAAAGTAAATTCCAGTCATGTAAATTTACTAAATTAAATCCATTTATCAACAGTATTTTTGCTGAAATAAAAAAAGAAAAGAAATATAATATCAAAAAAATAGAATTTTCAAAATCACCATAACTACACCGAGTTCACAAAACTTTAAATATTCATAATAGCAAATATCGTTGCTTTTCCAGATAATGTTAGCTTCAGTTAAAAATATATACTATACCTGAACTTTCAAAGCTCTATGGAGTGTAAAGGGCAGCAAACCTAACAGAATTAATAATTTCATAACTATGAAGAAATCGAGTAGCTTCCTCAAATAAATCGCAAATGCAGGGCTTGGTGTTATCTAAAACTTTAAACTCATTGAGATATTAAATTATATTAATAATCATATCAAATAATGCAAAAAAAAAAAAAAATAACCTTTCAATATTGTAGTGTTTTCTTCTACTTTATATAATGTATCAGTAATGTCTTCATAATCAGACAAATCTGAACCAGAGCTAAACAAAATAATATAATAACCCAGAATAATGCATAATAGCTTTGGCTTTTTTACTTTAGTGATTTTGATTAATAATTAAAATTCATCAATAAACTTTGTGATGAGGAGAGCAAATAAGTAAAACTAATCATTTAAATGATGTTCAGTTTTAGAAGCTGATAAGGATACACGTGGCAGAGCTAAAGTAAAAGGCTGCAAATTCAAATCATTGTGTTACTAGTATTCCGAATTCCAGGCTCTGTAAAACCAAAATCTAAACCCCATGTTGCATATATAAAGCATGGCAATATAACTTTAAAAGTTGAAAATAAAATATAACTAGCAACATATATATAAAAAGATTATTTATTTTTTTATTAGTTACTAATGGTGTCATTAGTTATGTAATGTCATTATGACATAACAAACTACGTAGATGTTAGTCTATGACAAAATCCATTTTTTTAATATCCAACTTGATGAGTAATGCTTTAAAAAAAATTGTGAAAAATGAAATGAGATAGTATTGATATAAAATAAGATCCAGTGGTCAATTACATGATCCAAGAAAAAATATTATCTGATTTGAGTTAAGGAAATTGTGCTTTAGCAAACCAAATAGGTTGCCATTACTTCTTTTGTTTTTCACTGGTTCAAAGAATATCTTATAGAAAAGTCTATAAAACTCATACATTATCTTGTATACTTCTTTTAGATCAAATCTGTGTCATTGTTGTTCAAGTGTCCATAAACCTAATTTAAGTATTGTCTGTATATGGAAGATATTTTGCTAATATTATCAATTTGCTAAACCAATGATGTATTTTTTAGATTATCTTTTTAATAATCTTGGACATAAAAAGATGACAGAGTGATGCGATATATAAAGAATATATAAAAAGAGTAAAATAATCCTTGTTCTTGGAACCAAGAAAGAAGCCACATATAATATGTGACATATTTCACTAACTTTAAATTAAAAATGTAAATAGCTCTAAAAATTCTGTATAAATAGCTCTAAAAATGTAAATAGCTCTAAAAAATGTCCTGCATCTTGCAATAGATAAAAAAAAAAAACCGTTCATAATTATTAAAAAAATACAACTTGTATTTTTTTGCTTGTATTACAAGCAAATACATTTTATAGAATTATTTACCTTATTGACATTATTCTATTTACACAAAATGTTAACTAAATCAAAGCCAATGAAGAGTTGAATGTTATGAAAACAAGGCACCGTAGTATTGACAAAACAAATCACAATAAGATTAACGGTTTTAAAACAGATAATACAGTAGCAATTAAAACAATATTGAAGTTTACTTTCGTACCTAAGAGTAACAACATGTGCTTTCGAAGCATTTTTTAGCATATTTTATTTAATTTGACATAAGTAATTTCCGCATAATTACGTATAATTTTCATGTGGACTTTGATCGCCTTTTAAGTGATACTTTCGTTCGATAACCGTTTTTAATAATGTTTTAAAGAATTAATCATGTAAAAATATTTATCTATAATTTATCTTTGACAATTTATCTATGACATTAAATTGACATTTTATGACAATTTATCTATGACATTAAATTCTAATTAAATCAGCATTTGTTTTCATAAAGTTAAATTTTTTTATCTTTCTATTTTTTTATTTTCTTTCATGCTTAAAATAATTGTAAGCAAATGTATTTGCGTTTCATCATTTCATTTATTACTTATATAACTACGTTTTTAAATTTATTTTTATATGTATTAATAAATATTTTGAATAAAAAGTTTTGCAACTAAAAATTAAGTTTGGATATTGAAATACAACAAGATCTTTTACAACGATATTTAGCTACATGCTTTTGATCATTAAACAGCTGAAAGGTAAGAAAGTTTTAATTTCATACCTTTATTAATACAACTTTAGTACAACTAAATAACAATTTTTAAATACAACTAAAATACAACTTCTTAGTATTGAAAACAAACTTTCTATACTAAAATTTGTATTTTCTTACCTAACTTTCTTATATAATCTAATATTTTTATATTAGTCACTTTTAAACTGATAAATTCCATGTATTTGCAATTCTGTTAAAAATAAAATGGTCCCTCAAACAACGTTTAGCAAATTCTTAGTGATATTTAAAGAAACAATTTAAAAATATTTTCCTCTAAAAACTTTCAGATTCTGGTGGGTCAAGCAGGGGGTATGCATACCTCCACCCTGGATCCTTCACTATATTTGAGACTACTAATTGATAAAACAATTTTAGTTGCTCTGTGTTGTATTTTTTTAATTCCATTACAGTCTCCTTTCATAAAGAGACCAAACCAGAACTGAAAAGTGGACAAATTCAAATAGTGGACTAAACATGTAACAATTTCTTTTTTCATCCCAGCATTTGATTTGGTTTTCCAATTACAATAGTTATCGGATCTTTCTATTAAATATTTGTAGAAAGTATATCTCCAAGATCTCATTCAGACTCAGAATCATAATGTTGTATACCATTAATTAAAAGTGCATTATTTTTATTGTTTGACCCATAATGCATCACAACCCAGAGAGTCAACAGAAATGAATGTTCAAATTAATTCAAATGTGTCAAAATTTACATTAGTTAAGGCGTTTATGGCTTCATGCAGTTTACTTTTTGGTATAAATTGAATTTTTTATTAAGCTATTGCAAGCCCGGGATCCCGGCCTTTTTTCATAATCCTGAAATCCCAGGATTGTCTAATATCAATCCTGGGATTCCCAATGTGAAAGATTGAATAAAACCAAACATAATAAAAAAAAATATAAAAATAACAATAATTTATGTGTCTAACTGGTTTCATTGGGGATTGTCCTTTTTTAATGACAATATCTAGTTTCTCTTCAATACTTAAAGAATTACTTATAGACTCAGGTACCATTTCAGGCTCTGCCTTAAAGCTTGTACACGAAATAAATGTGAAAGAATAATTATGTCATTTTTTTTCAGTGGTTATATTAAAATCTTTTTAATTGTTTTGTATTTTGTTCTGTGTTTCAAAAAAATGTATTAGTTTTTTGATTTAACTTAAATTTAGTTTAAAAAATGACAAAAGCAGAAGACATAAGAGAAAAAATTATGCACAAAAATTTGGAAAATCCCAATAGTAGCTACAATTCGATAGCAAAAGCGTTGCAAATACATCCATACACTGTTAGTTGTGTAATCCAACATTTTTCTCAAACAAAATTGATCAAATGTAAAATTGGAGGTGGAAGAAAGAAGGGTCTTAAAGATAAAAAACTAGTTAGAAAAAAAGTTAGAAATTCCTGGTGCTGTCTATTATATTGACAAATGTAGAAGAAAAGCAGATAAGAAATTTAAATACATAAAACATGACAAGTTAGCTAAAAAAGTCTTGATTTGGCAAACTATTTGCAGTTGTGGCAAAAAATCAGCACCTTATATTTCTCAGTCCACACTGTCGGGTCAAATATATGTTGAAGAGTGTTTACAAAAATGCCTTTTACCTCTCATTAAATCACACGATAAGAGACCTGTGTTCTGGCCAGATTTAATTCATTATTGTAAACTAGCTTTTGGAATGGAATAAAAATAATGTGAAATTTGTGCCTAAAACAGAAAATCCTCCAAACTGCCCAGAATTAAGAGTTATTGAAAAGTACTGGGCCATTATTAAAAGATAAATGAAAAAAAAAAAAAAAAAAACTTTGCAGAAATATTAAAGATATTAAAATATCATTTTAAAAAGCATCAAATGGCTTCAATTCTTGAATTGATTCCCACAGGAATAATTTGATTTTTTAAAAATATATTTGATCTTCTTATATTATTGTAGTAAAGTTATTACTTGGTTGGAAATAAAAATTGAAGAGTACTTTTTTTTAGTTGTTTTTCTACTTTCACATTTATTTCGTGTACACGCTTTATAAGAAACATGCTTTTTTTCAGTTTGAAAAAATCTTTAAATTGTTTTATTGTGATACATGATTGTTGTTATTTTTATATATTTTTTCTTTATGCTTTGTTAGTAATTTTTTTATTCATCCTAGCATTTGATCTGCTTTTCCAATTGCAATAGTTACTTGATCTTTCCATTTGAGATATTATATATATATATATATATATATATATATATATATATATATATATATATATATATATATATATATATATATATATATATATATATATATATATATATATATATATATATATATATATATATATATATATATATATATATATATATATATATATATATATATATATATATATATATATATACTCTTGCATGTCTCTAGCATGGCATCAAAAAAAGTTTCCCATAAACTGTAGTTTTAAAGAGCGCGTTAATAAACCAGACCAGAAAAAGTTTTAAAAATTAAATTTTTTTTTTTAATTGATAGACTGCCTGGCCAAACGAAACCCTCAGTCGATGTAGCAGCACTCTCTTGCGAGTCAGGCTATTTGTCAGTCGTTGTAGCAGCACTCCCTTGCAAGTCAGGCTATTTATCAGTCGATGTAGCAGCACTCCGTTGCAAGTCAGGCTATTTGTCAGTCGATGTAGCAGCACTCCGTTGCGAGTCAGGCTATTTGTCAGTCGATGTAGCAGCACTCCGTTGCGAGGCAGGCTATTTGTCAGTCGATGTAGCAGCACTCCGTTGCGAGTCAGGCTATAAGATAGTCGATGTAGCAACATTTACGCCTGTTTTAAAAATGTTTTTTATTAAATCAATAACAAAAATACCACTAATTAAAAAAAACTTTCTAGTCGTTATAATTGCGGTTTTTTAAAAAATTTTTAAAAAACAATTAAATTTAATGTACTTCCGCATAAATTAATTGCTTTGACATTTCGATGACAATCAAAAACAGCTTAAGAGACGAGGTAATTAAAATTGTAGTCGAAAGAGACTTTTTTTACATTAAACGACTCTTTCGACTACACTATAAGGATATATATATATATATATATATATATATATATATATATATATATATATATATATATATATATATATATATATATATATATATATATATATATATATATATATATATATATATATATATATATATATATAATATATATATATATATATATATATATATATAATATCTCAAATGGAAAGATCAAGTAACTATTGCAATTGGAAAAGCAGATCAAATGCTAGGATGAATAAAAAAATTACTAACAAAGCATAAAGAAAAAATATATAAAAATAAAAACAATCATGTATCACAATAAAACAATTTAAAGATAGTATAAAATTGCAGAAAAAAATTGTATTTTTCAGTTGTTAAAAAAGATATTGTAAAATTTTGATTTAGAGAATAGAAAAAAAATGGAAATTTTTGCGATATATCATGTTGATTATTTATTCTGATCTGTTCTGTAATTCTGCAAAATAAATTTTTTTCAAACTGAAAAAAAGCATGTTTCTTATAAAGCGTGTACACGAAATAAATGTGAAAGTAGAAAAACAACTAAAAAAAAGTACTCTTCAATTTTTATTTCCAACCAAGTAATAACTTTACTACAATAATATAAGAAGATCAAATATATTTTATATATATATATATATATATATATATATATATATATATACATATATATATATATATATATATATATATATATATATATATATATATATATATATATATATATATATATATATATATATATATATATATATATATATATATATATATATATATATATATGTATATATATATATATATATAATATGTAAGTTGATTTCAATAAAAAGGCAGCGTATAACTATTTTAAAATATATTTTGATATAATAATTTATTAATGATATTTCATTATTATATTAACGATATTTCTATATATTTATATTAACAATATTTCTGTATATATATATATATATATATATATATATATATATATATATATATATATATATATATATATATATATATATATATATATAAATAAATAAATAAAAGGTTAGATGAGAAAAAACAACTTTTTTACGGTACTTAAAGTTTCATGCCGTTTTCGGCACTCATCAGCCATATATTTAAATCAAGAAAAAACCGTTCAAAAATACAATTAAAAAACCGTTACAAAATTCAAAAAAAATAATGGAATGAGTTCTGACGTCAAATAATTATAATACAAATAATAATAATGCAATAATAATAATAATGATAATAATAATAATAATAATAGCAATAATAACAACAATAATAATAACAATAATAATAATAATGTTATGGAAAAAATATCTATTCTAATCACCAGTGTCAAATTGAGAAAGGAGGAATCTGTTTCTATGTCTGCACTTAGAAACAAACTCACTCCTTTTTATTTAGTAGATTAGTATTTTTATAATTTAGGATTTCATATTTTTCGGTGAGACATAATTTACAAGATTTGGATGTTGGATTATATGCTTTACATCACCTGAGAATTTTCTACTTAACTATAGGAACTAAATTGGCTTCTTTTATTTTCCATACCTGTTTTGACAGCTCAGTATCATTTTTGTATTTTGGGATGTTAAAAGATTTAACGTGGTTAGCGTATCTCAATTTAAAAGAAGTTTTACTTTCACCGATGTAGAATTTTTCGTTAGGAGATGAATCACTAGTGGTGGTTACAGTTGCTTGGTATACAATGTTGCTTGTTAAACATCTATTGGACAACGGGCAGAAATTTTTATCTAAGTAGTTACAATTTTCTTGATTAGAGTTTATCGTTGTATAAAATGTATTTGTTGTGCGAATTTATGATCGATTTCACACTTGGCATACAACTGTAGCTGTTAAAGATTTTATGTAGTTTGTTATTATTAGGAAAATGTTCGCCAATTAATTTCAAAAAACATTTTCCCACGTTGGTGCTAA